TTTCTTTCTTTCTTTCTTTCTTTCTTTCTTTCTTTCTTTCTTTCTTTTGTTTTCTTTCTGTCTTTTTCTATCTCTCTGTCCTTCCTTTCTGCCTTCTTTCATTTCTGTTTCCTTCTTTCTCTCTCATCTTTCTTTCTTTCTCTTTCCTTTCTTTCTTTCTCTTTCTTTCTTTCTTTCCTTCCTTCTTTTCTTCTTTCCTTTTTCTTTTCATACTTTCTTTCTTTCCTTCCTTCCTTCCTTCCTTTGTATCTTTTTCTTCTTTCTCCTTATTTCTTTCTCTCCTTCCTTCTTTTCTTCTTCCCTTTTTCTTTTCCTACTTTCTTTCCTTCTTTTCTTCCTTCCTTTCTTCTTTCTTTCCTTCCTTCCTTAACTCAAGGCTGTGAACACCTCCAACTCAACTTCCTCCACTTCCCCCACAACAACAACCACAACCCTGTGAGGTGGGTTGGGTTGAGAGAAAGGGATTGGCCCAAACTCATTCTGCTGGCTTTCATAGCTTAGGCAGGACTAGAAGTCACCATCAGTGGGTGACTGGCCCAAAGTCCCCCAGCCAGCTTTCAGGACTAAGGTGGGACTTGAACTCATGGTCTCCTGTTTTCAAGGCTACTGCCTTCACCAGAAAACGGAGTGAAGGAATGAAGGAGAGAAAGAAAGAAGGAGAAAGAGAGAGGAAGAAGAAAAAGAAATGAAAGAAGGAAGGAAAATCAAAACATTGTAAAGTAGGTGCGGGAGGGGAGAGAAAGGAAGAAAGGAAGATTTAGAGACTGGACCTCAGATTGGAATCCCCCCCTCTCTCACCGAGGTTATTCTTCTTGGAGTTGTTGTTTTTTTTAAAAAAAAAACTTGGGTAGGTTGGGATGGGCCCCACACCACGGTGGTGGGACCTCCAGCAGGGTCAAGACAGTTGATGGGCTTCACCTTCTTGACCTCCCCATCACTGGGACTACCCCTCCCTCCCTCTCCCCCTCCACCCTTTGATCTTAACCTCTTGACAAGGTACAAACCTGGAAAGGGGTGGTGCTGGTGGGGAGAAACGGTGCCGTGACACACACATGGGACCTATTTTTACTGAGCTCCCAGCTCCAGGTGTTTCCTGAACAAAGATGCAGAAAGAAACAGAAAGCCTTGAAATGGAAACCGCTCCAAGCTCACCTTCCTTTCAATGAATTTGGTGGGCTGGGAGAGGAGGGAGACAAAAGATTGTCTTCTCTCTCTCTCTGTCCTTCCTTCCTGCCT